AAAAAAAAAAAAAAAAAAAAAAAAAAAAAAAAAGTTTAAATCAATTTAAAAGATGCAAAACTGAGTAGGACAAAAAAGATTAACTAAAAATGGCCTATTAAATACGAAGCAAAAAGTTTTTACAAGTTGTGTGCTTTTTGAACAAGTGCAGAAATACTTTTTAAGACTATAACTTTTTTATTTTTTGTTAGTGTGCTAAACAACTTTTTTAGTAACTTTGCCAACTTCTTTCGTATCAAATGTGTTTTGAATATATTCTGATTTTCACATATCAGATCTTTAACTGTAGCTTAAATTAAAATTACTGTTTTGGTAAAAGCGAAAAACCAACCGTAACCTATCGTGGTATGAAGACAGTAGGCCAGGATAAATAGCAACCGTACGCTTTTCTTCATGAACTTTCAATTAGCTGCTGTTTGCAACTGTTATCGTAAATGCTCACTTGATATAGAATAGCGTAAGTAGAACTAAGCATCTAATTCATTCCCCTAGACTATAGTCTTTTTGTTGGATAGAGTAGTCGGTCTGCTGAGTATGCCTATTTGTTTAATATTCAAAGATGCCTAGTAAGCACTGTTATTTGACTACAGATTTGATTAAAAAACCAACGTTCCCAAATATGTCATCATTAAAACGACCAACTTTTCATTCAAATGTATGCCAACACTAATTACGGTTCAGTAACTTCAAAATTTGGTTTTTTTTGACTTCTTGAGACTAAAACAAAAAAATTTTAAAAATTTTAATGTGTTTACTGATAGAGGCTTTAGATTTTACCATTGATATACTGTGTACAATTTGACTGCTTCAGGAGTTTTTACTCAAACTTTCTGATAGAAACACTTTCTGAGAGAATACAATTGCGCGAGCACAGAAAACTTGCAAAACATCTGTTTCCAATGTTGAGAATTTGATTTTGAGCACATGCTAAGTTGACATTAATTTAAAATTGAGCTCGTTTTAAAAGTGATATTTTATGGCAAACAGATGTTTTTTTTAGGAAGGGTACAGTGCAATCAAATTCAGACATAAAAAGAAAAAATTTAAGCGGAATAACGAGTGATTTTAGAGGTTAAACATTGAGCAACGAAAATAATTGCTGTAAAAGTTAACAATAAATAATTCCTTCACTGATAACTGCTGCTCTTTAAAGATTATCAAAAGACATCAATACAAAAACCATTATTGCAATTTATATTCAGATTGCTGTAACATTGCAACGACTATACGTACAGCTTATAAAACAACTCTATTTATCGTTAAAAAATGTACCCAAAAAAAAGCTCGTATAAAGAACGGTAACAATATTTGTAGTAACAAACTGATACAGTTTTTCAGCAGTGCAGCTTCTGACAAATAGTACAAGTTTCTGTTGGCAACTTGAAATATTTCTTTCACAAATATAATTTCTGTTATTCTTGTAATACTTGAAAATGGTTTCTGCAGTTTGAATTTTGCTCCTAAATTTTTTTCAGCTTAGCAAGATGTTTGTTTCTTCATTTCAGTTTCTTTTTTTTATACCTTCCCTGCAGCAGTCATTCCATTCTGTGATAGAAAAGTGAATCAGATTCTAAATATAAAAAATTTTACTTCAACATAGCACAATTTTACTCCCTTCCTCTCAAAAATATTGTTACTCTCGGTCTACGCTGACATCTATACTCTTATTTTAGTGTTATAAAACAAACAGATATTAGTAAATATTTCAGTACAAACAAGTACTGCAATAAAACAAGCACTTTTCTTCTGTATGAAAAAGGCAGTTTAGTTGGTACTTATACAGTTTCCGTATTTGCATAGTATCATTAAAACAGCTTGAGAGGAAAATCCAAAATGCAGTAGGCAGATTTACGAGAGAATTGGTCTTAAATTGAGGCTAAGCTTGTACGTTATAATTTCACTGTTGTCTAGCATTGAAAAAAAAGGCTGTATTAAACAGTGAAAAGGTTACTTGAGTAGCAAAAATACCTCATGAAAAATTTGTGTCAATACAGACTGTTAAACACTTATGAAGACTTAGGTTGTCAATATATAGTTATTCCTAATCTCAAAAATGGTCTTAAGCTAATTGCTTTTTTTAGAAACTAGAAAAAAAGTTGAAGAGGCAGAATAAAAAGAGCGATAAATCATATAAGATAATCGATTAACAGCAAACTTCATTATAAAAACAACTGAACCGTAGCGCTAAGCCGCTTTTAAACAGAATCTAGCAATAGCAGTAGTCAGTGTTATGCGTCATTTAGAATATCATCATCTGAACATTATTGCTATAAAGACACAAAGATTTTGTGGTCTGACCTGTCGTTTTAACTATTTGCTGCCAACAAAAATATCCCCTTGCAGGAGGGAGTCTGCGAAAGTAGTTAGAAAAGTGGAATAACCACCGTGTTTTTAGTCACTGCGTATTATACCAAAAGAATAAAGAAAGAAAAGAAAAGAAAACAAGCAACAGTTTTTAAAGAGGTGTTAGAATCATCCGAGTTTTGAAATCCAAACAATTTCAGACTTGCCTTTCAAAAACAATTTTTATAACAAAATCTATCAGTAAAATATATTCATCGTCAAATTTCTGCAGATGGTGGTCGAGGTGGTGTCCATTTAGGTGGAGGCGGCAAACATATTGTTGAACGACGTTTTGGCTTCTGCTTAACATCTTTTGGTAGTTTACCAGTTTTTTCAAAAAACTTTTCCAGTAGTCGCTCTGGAATTTCATCAGTTGGAGTATCATAACCAACTTTCTTTCTCTTTTTTTGTACCGCTGCTTCTGCTTCTATTATTGGAGAGGATTTTGAGATAGATGAGATTGGCGTTGGCGTCATCGATATAGTCCGTAAACGACAAATAAAAAACATCATCATAAACAAGACTAAAGCACCTGTACCAAAAAATAATATAAGACCTGAAACTATAAAGTGCGTTATAAATTTTTTGTAATATTCTAGCCATATAATAGATAAATATTAAAATCTATTATTAGTAAAACAGTTCTGTGTAGATGATCGTTCAGAAGTATTTCTGCACATAAAGAAGTGCACCTAATCAAGGTAAAATCTGCATTTAAACAGGACTGAAAGAGCAGGAAATTTTATCCTATTTTTCAAAGCTTCCCTCACAGTATAATTGGCTACGTTAAAGTGCAGTTTCCACTCAACAAAAATGATTGTAAATTATGCTCAACTAACGATAAAATCCTTAGCAATTTTCTTCTGTCTAAAATTCAGTGCATAATTGCAAAAGTGATTATTACACTCACCCGTTGTACTCTGTAGTATCTTTTCGGTAAACCACGACTCTTCAGAAACGATCTTCTACAAACATTGCTGGTGAATGTATAGAAAAAACTTCAAAATGAACTTTATTCTGGCAAGCCGCTCAAAAATTATGTTTTTCCAGAAGCAGTTTTAGTGTAATACATGACTAAAAGCTTCTCTAAGATTAACAATTTTGGTTCTGAATTACAATTTAGTATGAAACTTGTCAAAGCAAGAATCAGCAGCAGTAGAAGAACCAGAAGCAGAAGCAGTAGTAGTAGTAGAAGTAGTAATAGTAGCAGTAGTTTTAAAAGAACACATAAACTTTATACTTGTAGGGAAGATTCAGAAAGCAAAAATTTTAAATGAGTTCAGTACATTTGCCTCTACTTTGGACGCATCCAGCTACTCTACACAGTCCTGCATAAAGTGGCTTAACGTGGTGCTTCGCATTTGTTTCGACATTTCTTCAAAAAATATTGCGAATTAAATAGTAGAAAATTTTGAAGGCTTTGTTTAGAATACAATCATCTAGTTAGTTTGGTTACAAAGCGCACCAAAAGTTTATACTGGTAGCAGCTAAATTATTGTGATTCTGAACTTTTTTGATATGCATCCTTATTTTGAATGGAAAATTTGACATTCTTTTAGCGAGATAAACTTGAGCTTTGCCTTTTCGCATGATTGACAATCATTGCAACAGTGCGATTGGCAAACAGATCGTTCTTTAATTGAAAACACTAAAAATTTTAAAAACTTTAAAGCTTAATTTTTTATAGAGAATCATTATATTCACGTAAGAAGACAAATTTACAAAATCAGAAAATTTTTTTAAGTGCTTAAGTAGTACTCAATTGCTTGCTCTTACTCCAAACCTTGATGCAGTCATAATTGATAAGTCTATCAGGATCTGCAAACGCGGTGCGGCTAATTCTTCCTTTTTGTCCATCAATTCATGTATGTCATATTTCTCGGTAATGAAATAAAATTTGACGATTTACTTACTGTTTTTGATGCAATTGGATTCTTGTACTCTCACTAGTAAGGTTGAAAGAAGTCAGGTTCTTAAAAAGCAAGCTCTAGATTGATGTTAATAAATAGAAACCAAAAAGTTTGTTATCTACAACTGTAATTGCTGGCTACAGGAACGTCTTTTGTGCAGTATAGTCATCTTTACTATGAACGACTTCTCTTAACACACACTGCTTTCTTTACGCTGATATAATTAAAACGCTTTTTATTATAGATAACAGTTAGAAATTTAAAATTATGTGAACCGAATTCTAGACAATACTTGTATGTGTAAAGGATAAAGTGCACAGTAGACACAGCAGAGTATTATGTGGGAAAAAAAGCCAGTACAGGAAATTACTAGTAAGATTTCTCAACGTTAACGATTCCAGAGTAGCAAAATGAGTAACAGAAGGAAAACTGTAGAAAAAGTCTCAATTAATTTTTGACATTTTGCTGTTTTATAGACCTTCTGTCTTCAAAATTGACAAGAGATGAAAGATGAAGGTATATTTCGAATCTTCACAGTTTTTAGCCATTGTTCATTTGACTAACAGTTTTGGTAAGAAATGCATGAAATGCAGTAAAACTGAAGGTCAGTGGTTTATTAACAGTGTTGATTTTTTTACATGTAAATTTTGTGGTAAATGTACTATAGTATACTCAAAAAATTTGACCTCTTTTTGATAAATTAAGTAAAATAATACCTGTTTTCTACACATCATTGTATTCACTTTTACAGCACGACAGCCTGCTGGCCTCATACCTAAATTATCCTAAGCTGGAATGACGTATTCAAAATAAGAAATCTGATTAAATTTAGCGGTTACTACAAACTTACTAATTATTCA